GGATATAAACTTTTGTGTCAGCTTTTCTTGGTACATCAAATTTTTAAACCATTACTTTTGTGTTCTTTATCATTCCCCCGGTAGCGGTGGCTCTTCCATCTTTGATTTTCTATCTTCGAAAATTGAACATTTGTTGGCTACTGACCCCAACTGCCATGTTACCATCTTGGGAGATTTTAACATTCACAATCGGGACTGGTTGACACATTCATCTGCTACTTCTCCTTTGGGACGCGAAGCCGAACATTTCGCTTTGGTCAACAACCTGAGCCAACTAGTTGACTTCCCCACACGTGTCCCTGATCGTGCCGACACCCTCGACCTAATTTTCACTTCGGTCCCTTCTTTCTTCTCAGTTATTGATACCTCCCTCCTCTTGGCTCATCAGATCACTGTACTGTTTCCTGCTCTATTAGGTTGTCAAACTCCGAGTCACCAACCACCTCGAGACACATTCTGGCGCTACAACTCAGCCAACTGGGACGGTTTCCGTGAGTTCCTAGCTGCTTATCCCCGGAACGATTGTTGTTTCTCTTCGGCTGTTTCCAAATCCGTTACCAACTTCACCCACGTTGTTCTTCAAGGTAATAGCATCTTTTTATTCCGCACTTTTCCAAACCCGGTAAACCCAAATCCTCTGAGTGGTTTAACCATGCATGTGACCGTGTTGTACGCCATTAAACGTTCAGCCTTCCGGCGCTCGCCCAGTCCCCTCTCCCGCCATCGCTTCGTGCAAGCTAGGAACAGATGCTCGACGACCATTCAGAGCACCAAAGAACGCTTTGTTTGCCGTAAAGCCGAAAACTTGGTCTCGTCCGCCAACGGTAGCCGAACATTTTGATCCCTTGTCAAAGCAATTTCCCGTAATTTCTGCCCTTCCAACTTCCCTCATATCTGCTATTCCTCTGGTGATCTTGTATGTCAAACACACGAGAAAGCTGAGGTTTTCGCTTCACAGTTTGCCGCCAATTCCACCTTACCCCAATTTTCTACACCTCCACCTTCTTCCTTCTTCACTGGCAATCCTCTTCCACCTAATATCAGCACTAGGAAAATCCGTCAAACATTGCGCTTTCTAAATGCAAACAAACCACGGACGGTATTCCACCCATCGTCCTCAGAATGTGTGCTCCCGAGCTGGCTCTTGTTTTACGTCGTCTCTTCAGTCTTTCCCTCCAACTTTCTTCCTTTACAATGCCCTGGAAGCACGCCGTGATTTTTCCCATTCCCAAACACGGCGATCTTTCTAACCCCAACAACTATCGACCCATTTCCCTCACATCTGTTCTTTCGAAAGTATTTGAAACTATCATTTCTAACCAGTTACGCACATTTATTGAACGCGAAGGACTACTGAGCGACCGCCAGTATGGCTTTCGACCGCGTCGTTCCACCGGTTACCTTATGGTTCTTGCCTCACAATCCTGGTCAGCTCCATTCGATAACTACCGGGAAACACACTTGGTTTCGCTTGACATCTCAAAGGCCTTCGAACGAGTTTGGCATGAAGGTCTACTGGCGAAACTACCCATGTTCGGGTTCCCTCCAGTGCTCGGAGATCAAGTTTTCTCAGTAAGCGGACCATCTCCGTCCGAGTTGATGGGGTTCTATCTCAGCCATTCCCTGTGAACGCTGGTGTTCCATAAGGTTCAGTACTTGCGCCCACCCTCTTTATTCTATTAATCAATGATTTCCTTTCCCAAACTGCCAACCCGACCTATTCTTTTGCTGCTGACGCCACCCTCCACTGCTCCCTCTCCTACCGCACTGCTCGCCATGCCCAAACCAACATCGATGGTGACCGTAGCGCAGTTTATGTGTCACTGGACCCTGGTCCCTTTTTATAACCAAGCTTGCTTCTCGTGCTACGCGCAAAGTTGGATTGCTTTTTCGCGCCAGACGTTTTTTCACCCCAGCTCATCTTCTTCTATTTTACAAAGCTCAAATCCGCCCTGCTCTTGAATACTGTAGTCACGTGTGGGGTGGAGCTTTGTTCTCTTTCCTTTCCCTTCTCGATTGTGTTCAACAAAAGGCAATCCGGCTAGTCGATGATCCTTCCCCAACATCCAGTCTACAGTCGCTAGCCCATCATTGGGCAGTTGCTCCATTGTCCCTCTTCTACCGCTACTATTTCGGTTTTTGTTCTTCAGAACTTACCTCGGCAGTTCCTCTTCTTGCAACTTTTACCTGCCCATCCTATACACAGGCATCTAGTCATCTTTATCAGGTTTCTGTTCCCAGGTGTCGTACCTCTCTACTCCAATCTTCTTTTTTCCTCCGAACTGCCAAACTGTTGTTTTTTCCCCAACTTACAGTCTTACATTTCTTAAACGCAGAATCAATAAACTGGATNTCGATGATCCTTCCCCAACATCCAGTCTACAGTCGCTAGCCCATCATTGGCCAGTTGCTCCATTGTCCTTCTTCTACCGCTACTATTTCGGTTTTTGTTCTTCAGAACTTACCTCGGCAGTTCCTCTTCTTGCAACTTTTACCTGCCCATCCTATACACAGGCATCTAGTCATCTTTATCAGGTTTCTGTTCCCAGGTGTCGTACCTCTCTACTCCAATCTTCTTTTTTCCTCCGAACTGCCAAACTGTTGTTTTTTCCCCAACTTACAGTCTTACATTTCTTAAACGCAGAATCAATAAACTGGATCTTGCGTGAATGTTTCCCTACCCCCCGCTTATAGTATGCTATTTTCCCATGGGGACTTCCCCGTTTACTGTGATTTAAGTTGTGTAATAAAAAGACTTCGAGCACCAACTTGGTGCATTGGTTTCGGGGTAAACATGTGCTGTTGTAGGGAAATCGGTTACATTCTCTTCATTAGAAATCCACTTCTTCGTTCCATTGCAAGTAGGTGATTTTTGACCAGTTGGATTAGTAATGTGTTTAATCTGTATCATTTCTTGCGAGGATGCCAAAAGATCACATAGTTTGTCGGGGAAAACCCACTGAATCTTTTGCATCAGGATCTTACATTTTGCGTAATCAGTAAGCGCACAAGTGTTATTCGCAAAGTTCGCGGTTAAGATGAGTGACAACTTCAGTCGAACCGCAATATACCATAGTCACTGCACCCTAATACCGTTGCAGTAGAAATTGCTTCAACCATCAATTCATTTTTTACCAACAGGTCCAAGGTTAATGATGACTAATTGGCTCCAAAACTAGTTTGTTCTTTCACGTGATAGTTAAGTGGGTGTGATTCAATAAACTGTGCGAATTGCCGCTCAAACGCATGTAAGAAGGTCACTTATCTAGTCAGATTTGGGAGCAAGGAATTGTGAGAGAATCTGGTACATGATTGGGAACAGCGTCTTAATGGCCGAGTTTGGGGATGAAAGAGAACGATAAACCACACCGATCAAGCCGATGTCGTGTTGCGTCAGTCGCATTTCACTAAATAAAAAATTGAAGATCGGAGCGGGATTATCCGCTAGCTCGCACTGTGCCGCTGAAATAAAGCAGTTCACCGCTATTTCGTGCAAACTGATTGCGTCTGAGCAGCGTTGTACCGAGCAAGCGCGATTGTCGATTGTCAACGAAGGTTCGGTAACCACAATAATATCCCAACGACTAGTTTGCCAACGCAGTTCCATCACCAAAAATTTGAAGAGGAAACCTTGGGAATTCATTTAAAAACAATGCAGTCGATGAATGAGCAGTTAAGGGAGAGAGTTTGTTTGGTCTGGTTTAGGGGAGGGAAGTGACCATACGCAATGTAATTAATGGCTAACCTATACAATATACTAGCTGATTTTAAGAACTGAAAAAACGAACAACCATACACGTCGTTGGGTAGTAGTATGCAGTTGACCTACATCATCGAATATCTCTTGGAACATTTTTTGCTCCTCCAATATCTCAGTCCACTAAGAGAGGAGAGTGCAAGTAGCGTGTTGATTATTTTGTATATGCGTTACAATGTTGAAATTCAACTATGCCATCACTGTCACGTGAGGAATTATGGTAGTCACCTGTATCCGACTATCTTGACCGGCCTGATCATTACATTTAACATACGAACGTCAAGTGTATGAATTCGAGTTAGCGATCAGTGAAGTTTGCTTCCCTGTACTTTGCTGTACGATGATGATGATAATGACGAACGTTAAGTTAAGCGCCGTGGCACGATAACTTTTTTAATTGCACATCAGCGCGTGATGAACAGCAGACGAGGTGGACTCCATAGTCACGAAGACCTGCTGTTCGGTGATGGTAACCGGCAACCTAAGCCCCAGGACTTCGAGTGGCGAACAACATAAGGCCCCGCTAGGTCGAGCGTGGTATAGAACCGGGCGGCAAAACTGCTTACCACTAAATTCAGAAAATTCAGTCGGCTCGAATGCGAAACTGCGAGTCATGGGAACACTTCATGGTATTTCTGTCAAATCAAAACAAACATAAAATGCTAGTACATCGATTGAGGTTCGTCCATCTCTAATCTTAGATCATTCAGCAGAGTGAATATTTGTCACAACATCCGTACTATCCCAGACAAGAACGTAAGCGAAACCGATAGATGTAGAGCCGACCCCACAAACACCACCACCACCTCGTGACCCGTTTTCATCACTGAATAGCAGGGTCTCGTGACTATGTGAATAATGTGGAAAGATTGTAGCTCGGGATGTGGATGTTCGTGGTGGTGTGTTCTCCGAGCTGGGAGTGTTGTTCGCAGACGTTTCGTAGCCAGGCTAGGCAACATCATGAGTGCAACTTCAGGGGCTATGGACTTCGTGATTATGGGGTTTAGCCCGTCAACTGTAGAGGAGAGCTTGACTGTAACTACAAACACCAAAGATCTTAAATGCAGAGCAAGTATTTAAATAGAAAGTTGATATTCGGCACTCGTTATTGCACATAATTATGAAGTGAACAGTTAACTGAGTGAACCGGAGCACAGCGGTGATTTACCATCAAATCATAGCTTTCAATGGATGATTGACACCACGTTCAGTGGTCCGCCTTACATTAAATAAAAGCACCAACCTGACGACGTATTCTGTAAGTCTCTTCCACAAGAGAAACGACATGTAGAAACTCTGGGGCTGTTCCTGCTTTTGCTTGAGCTAACTTGTTGTTGACTTGAGCAATCCGTTCGTTATACAGCGTTTCCTTTGCATGTTTGAACTCCCACTCAAGTTCAGCAACCTCAGCCGTGAGTTCGCGTCGTAGACATTCTAGTTCTGCCTCAGTCAGGTCCTCTTCACCCAGCTC